AAGACTTGTCCTCTAGACCCTTCACCAACTTCGTTGCCCTCCTCTGGACATGCTCCAGCACCTCGATGTCCTTCTTGTAGTGAGGGGCCCAAAACTGAACACAGTACTTGAGGTGTGGCCTCACCAGTGCCGAGTACAGGGGCACTATCACCTCCCTGGTCCCGCTGGCCACACTATTATTGATACAGGCCAGGATGCCATTGGCCCTCTTGGCCACCTGGGCACACTGCTGGCTCATGTTCAGGCAGCTGTTGACCAACACCCCCAGGTCCTTTTCCGCCAGGCAGCTCTCCAGCCACTCCTCCCCCAGCCTGTAGCGTTGCATGGGGTTGTTGTGACCCAAGTGCAGGACCCAGCACTGAGCCTTGTTGAACCTCATACAGTTGGCCCCGGCCCCACGATCCAGCCTGTCCAGGTCCCTCTGCAGGGCCTTCCTATCCTCCAGCAGATCGACACTTCCACCCAACTTGGTGTCATCTGCAAATCATTTCAAAGCAGTATATTCAATATGAAGGAATGGTGCACTATTAAAGATTTAGTTCTGACATGTTAGCCCAGATGCCAAAGAATACTGAGGAATTAGGCAGACAGGCAAATTTGAACTTCGGCAATATGAACATTTAAAACTTTTTAAAAAAAACTACTGCAACAAGTTAGGGGTCCAGAACCATAATCACTAGCATGATAAAGAAATACAGCCCCTCTCAAGGAAAGTGATGGTTTAGAAGCTGCATGCCCCTTCAGTTAGAATATCACTTTTTTTAGCAGTTCGCCTATACATTTAAGTCCTGAGCTGGTAATACCTGTATTTTTCACAGCTACCGTCTCTGCCATTTCACTTTTCTATTACATCCTGCAACACTGCTCATTGGCATTGCCTTGGTGTTTCTGTGGAGATCTGAATTAGTAAAGCAGGTAAAAGTGACGAACATTGAAGTATCCACACTGAACTTCAGAGTTTAGTTGTCTTCTCAGTTGAGACAACTGAGGCCATTCACAAAGCTCTGTTTTGAAGCTGTTTTAGGCTACTTTCATTTTTTAAACGAAAATCTTACGTCAGAGTGCATAGAGATCTATATTTCTAATATTTAAATTTTCACCTGTGAAAGCTGAAATGTGCTGCTGTGTGTTTTTAAAAACCATTTAGGTGGCCCTGGTAGAGCTGCTATGCCAACACCTGGGAACACAGCAGCTTTTCGAGCAGCCCTCTGGACAAACATGGAGAAACTCATGGATCAGATCTGTGCTGCTTGCGGGCAGGTACTCAGCAGCTAATTCCTGTTTGTCTAGTCATGCAATTTTGCATGTAAGATACTAGATGTCACTTTTCCTCTCAATAAATTCTTTCTTACAGGTGCAGCATTTGCAGAAAGTATTGACAAAGAAAAGAGATCCTGTGTCACATGTCTGCTTCATAGAGGAAATAGTTAAGGTAAAGTTTTAATTTAGCTGAATATGTTTTAGTAATTCTGTTAAGGAAAACGTGATGGGGGAATGCTTTTGTTTACAATTTTACAGTTCCATAAAAATTTTGTAATTAAGTTAATGGGAAAGTCTTGAAAGTCAAACTAACATTGAAAGCTATATTTATGGTCTGTGGGTTACATCTGTAGGGTATAAACATGTTCCTATTATGATAATTTATTTTGTTTTCTTTAAAGGGAGCTGATAAGGCACCACTGTCAGTTTTTATTACTGATCATTAATGTCATTCCATAACATACCACGTGATTTGAGTAATTGATTAAGTCTGTTAGTTTGCATAGGAAAATGTGTCTTCATCTAACACCTTCAGCCATCTGTTTCTCTACTTCTTGGCAATTTCTTCCTTGAAAAATAATCATGGCTGTTCTTTTGAATACCTATTATTTTCCATTCAATTGCATTGTTTTCTATTCATGTTTGGAATAATTTGATTAACGGTCTCCATCAGTGTTAGGAACAGAATTACTGAAGCTATCTCATCTACCCTAGTAGATAAGAAGAAACAAAAACAAGAGATGTGTTTATGCAGACGTCTCCTTTTCCAAGTATATGGCTGGATTTTTAATTTACATGAAGTTAATTTTTGAACTATGTTGGGGAAACTCTTCATATGCAAATGTGGTCTTCTCAACAGTGAAAGCAAATAATGAAGGTTAAATACAGCATTTAAGTTTATCTGTCTGTTAAGCCCATCTCCAAAAGACGTTGCACAGAACATCACTTTTCTATGAGGCACTTCAAGCTTCAAGAGAAGCTTGTAAAAAAAAAACCCAAACAAAACACCCCACAAAACACCTCAAAAAGTTTATAAACTTTTAGCGTATTTTCTTCATTAAAAAGTTTGATCTGGCAAAAAATACCTGTTGCTGCCTGGGTGGAGCCCTTCAGTAGATCAACATGTTTAAGGAGAAACACAGAAACCTAGAGACAGAAGGGGGAACTCTGGAAGGCTCAGGAAGAGTTTGGATAGAAAAGGGGCTTAGATAAATGAGGTTTTGGTGTTCATGAGTGGCTCCCACCCTGAACCTGTGCTTCTCACTTTCACTCTTCCCTTTTGTAGAACAGCGCTTGAAAAGGGGATAGGAGTTTTTCCAGTTGTTGAGGATGATAATAGAGGAAAGCCAAAGGAAATCTTCTGTCATCCTGGAGAATAAATGAATAGGGAAAATGAATCTCAATAGAAGCTAGATGCAGAGTAAGGAAAACCTCATTAGAAAATAAAATAAAAGACTTTTGGATTGTCATATGCTAAGCATGTTCTATCATCTCTCTGATTACCCTTCCTTCCCTTTGACTTCATACTGCAGGATTGCATCTAAGTGATAAATTGTATTTCCCAAATAAAATCCATCTATTTGTTTCTCCACAGTTACCACTCTTCCAGTTAGTTTGCTCTTCATCAGGTGTTTTGGTGTAGTATAACACCAAGCTGGATAGTTGTCATCCTCAGCGAGGCAGCTAAGGAGTACATCCTTGTTTGATGCTACCAGAACACTCTCAGCATGACACAGTACTGCTGATAGCACTGATGCTTTACTTTCTTCTTACCCGAGATGGTTCAACGTAGCACAGTGTTTTTCTTGGCCCTTCTCACAGTTACACCATTTGTTCTGGTGTCCCTTGAAAAAGGTATGGTACCAGCCTGCAGATGGGTGAAGTCACACCAAACAGTAGAGCTGTTGTATAGACAAAACCAGACAAGTACTACATGCTGCTGAAATTCAGGAGTGTATGTACAGATGGCTGTATGGGAGAGTATGAATTGTTGGGTGCATTGAAAGTAGATATAAGTAAGAAATTGGTATTTTGCCATTTACTAATGAAGATTCCATCTCGTATTAATCCAAACTGAAACAACATGATTTCCTCAACAAGTGTTCTGGAGAGGACAAAAAGTTGGATTTTCTTTATTGTATTCAATTTGATTAATAAACTGAGCAAATGAACAAAACAAACTAAAGGTACTAACATTATACCCATTCACTAGGGCAGCATGCCCACGCCAGGAGATAGGAAAACGAATCATCCACTCTACAGTCTGTGCACTAATTACTGTTACTGATGTCAACATTATTATTATAGTCATCTTCTGCAGCAGCTGCAGTACCACTTTGCCTGTCCATCTGCTTCCTTGTTTTGATTACTGCAGTGCAAGTATCATCCTAGGAAGCATAAGAGAGGAGGAGACCCAGCCTTTTTAAAGCACAAGTCCTTTAATAGCAAGGAAGCTACTTGCCTTTTTTTTTTTTTTTTTTTTAAAATCATTCTCTTTTTTTCCATTGGGGATTTTTTTGTGTCTTTCTCTTTGCAGATAGCACAGCCTGCCTTTTTTTGAATTTTGTATTATGATCTCAAACATGTGCTTTCCGGCCTTCTAATTACCTCTTACTGTAATAATATTTAGTAGTGTTGTATCATGTTGTATCCAAAAATGTAGTTTTAAAAACACTAACTAATTAATTAAAGGATTCACAAAAGCTCTCTGTTTCAAAAAAAAAAGGAAACAAACCAAAAATCTGACAGGTGGAGAAACTGAGGCACAGAACTTATAAAATTTATAAATACTGGGTTTCAGTAGGAGGGCAATGACAACACCCACATCTTTTCTACACTATGGTTTCTCTTACAAAATTCACTTCCAAATTTTTCCACTGTTAGATGTGGCCAAGAGTTAAGTGACATACCCAGGCTTACATGAGTATCATGGAAGAATCTGGAGATTAAATTTACACTGCACTTTTTTCCACTCCGTCCCTTTGCAGATCTAGCTTTTGGTATTTTTGCTTTGCCACAATACGAAATGAATGCAATTTTGAAAAGAAATCATGCACTCATAGTGCATTGTAAAAACTGTTACATTTCATGCTAGTCATGAACTATAGATTCATTATTAATTTGTACATACTAAAATCACAGATTTAATTTCCTAAAAAGATCTATGAGCTATTTAAAGGAGAAATAGATTTCTTTTAAGACTGAGTGGACATTTTTTGGGTTTTATCTAAGAAAAAAGGCCTTTAATGACTAGATTTTAGTTGAGGAGCAAGGCTAAAAGAATTTAGTTCTGATTTCTAGTTTTGGGGAAAATGAATTTGATTTAATTTTATACATTTTTTAAAAGGTAGGGTTATTGTTTTCATAATGTTGAGGGTAAAAATTAAAAATACACATAAGATTTAAATAATGTAAAATTGATATTTTTGTTCACCTAGTGACTGGTTAATTATATCACTTCTTTCAATTGCTTTATTTACCTTGAGAGAGCTAATAGGTTACTCCAGTTTATTCTGCTTCTCTCTTTCAATGTGTAGTGACTAATCCTGCCTCAGCTGTTGTAATACCTAAACTACAATTGACTTCAGTGTAAGTCGCAGCAGAACATATCTTTCTGTGACAGCCACCTTCCTAATTAGAGATAAGAATCCCTCTAAGCCCCTTGTAAGAGAGTTGAAAATGATCTCTGATCCTGATCTATTTTGGGTCCTTCACTCCTACATAGCCATCAGCGAACAGTTCTGCAAAGTGAGAAGCAGCCTTAAAAGCAGCAAATCATTTTGTAGGGTGGCTTTGGGGTGGTCAATAGAAAGGGTGAGCTGGCGTCTCTCCGCTGGGCAGAAGGGTACTCCCTGTGAGAGGACAGATCTGCCCTTGATCGCCCTTGATCTGCTGATGTCCCGCTTGTTAGCAGCTAAGGCACACCGCAAACCCTGTCATTTACGTAAGCCTCTGGTTAAAAAAGTGAGCTGAGAGTTGTAGGGAGTGTTATTATGTACTTAGTGGAGGGCTCTTATCGTTGCCTCTCCTGATGAACGTTTGGTGAGTAAGCAGGTTATTTTCCTGAGTTGTCAACACTGGCAATGTGAGGTGTTAACAATACAGAAGGAAATGTCCTCATCATTACATAAGATAAAGAAAATAAATGGAAAATATGAATGTTTATTGCCCAAAGTGTACTTATATTTCACCTTCTTATTTCTCCTCCCTATCCAAACTTTTAAAAAAATGTTGCTGCTTTGAAATTATTCACATCTAACATCACATATTCACATTCCGTTGACCCAATTAGGAAATAATCCCAAGTGGAAAAAATTGAAAAAGAATCTAATTACTGCTTTATGTGAGCTCAGAAAATAATCTGGTTTTCACTTATTATTACAAGTATGTGACTTATTTTCCAGTATTTTTTTGTAGAAGCAGAATTGCACTACTTGCACATAATTTCTACTGTGGTTTCTGTTTATTACTTAAGCAATAACGAGGTACTTTGTGGAGGTCTAAACACAGGTGAATGAGCAGGTTTTTGATCCCCAAAATACCAAAAATGCTCTTTATTTCAAACCTACAAATTGTCCTACTGAGTTCAGTTACAAGATTTTTGAGGCCTCTTAAGAAAACAAAAAGGTCTTATCAGTTAAAAGTCCTGATTCTAGTTTCGGATGGATCAGTGTGTCCAGACAGCCATGCTAAAAGTAATTTGGTTCTAATTCAAATGGGAGGGTCAGAGCCTGTGCAATGGTTTTCTAGTGACACTGCATTTTCTCTAGAACTTTAATTCCATTTCTCTGACAGAAATGTGCAGCCATAAATAAAAGGGATGGTGTGGAGGTTTTGTGGGTTAGTAGGTTATAATGGCCTTTGTTCTTTTTCACTTCTGCTTTGGTGGGGTTTGTGCAAATTGCAGTTTGGTGGTGACTGAAAATTATTAAGTCAGTTGGTTTTCAGTCAGCTTACTATTAGAAAAGAAATGCATTTACCAGAAGTGCCGCCTTTTATCATCGTTCTTGTCAATCTTACCTGAACAGCTACGGGCTGAGTGGATGTGGTAACAAACCACCCTTTCATCCTTGGATGGAGCCTGCAGTAGTCAAGGTGAAAGCGTAGTTCGAATTGCTGCTGTACATACTAAGTCAGTTCTCTGGATAGAAGAAAGCTGTCAGGTCCCTTGGG